TCCCTGAAAACAACTTTTCTAAGCTATAGTAAAAAGAAGCTTTAATCAAACATGTTAGGAAAGAGACTGAGTTCCCTTCTCTTTGTATGTACACATCACACAACCGTTGTCATCTTTTTATTTTACTTTTAGTCATCTCCACACCCAGTGTGGGGCTCAAACTCACAGCCCTGAGATCAAGAGTCACACGCTCCACCCGCGGAGCCCGCTCGTGGTCACCCTAACAGGCCATCAGAGCCTGCATCCAAAAAGCATAAAGAAAACGCGTTAGAGAAATATTTCAGAAGGATAATTCATGATGTTATGTGGGTTCCCTGTGTTTTGTGATGTTTGTGATGCTGCTCAACTCTGAACAATTCATGCTACGTGTTAGGGTTTCTTTTCTCACTCCGTTCACTTGATTTCCGACACATGACTTCACCTTCTGTTTTGGGAAACAGCACTCTGCAGGAAGAAGCACACAGCAGGGCTAAGAGCTCTCTCCTTTGTGAGATGTGCTTGGGTTAGCCAGTCCCTAGGGGCTTCAGTCTGGGGACGGTTCCCGCCATTCTGGAGGAGTGGCTCCCTGAGCCTGATCTGTGCAAACAAGTACTACAGCTTGTCTCACGCTCCGGCCTTCCTCCCAGGCCTCTGGCGATGGGGTACATGCTAGACAGAGGGCGCCTCCCTGCCCAGCCCCCACAAATGCCCTCAGTATGGAGTCTCCCCACACGCTGTCACCCCTGGATGCTGGGGGGGTGTAATATGTCGTGTGGAGAAGGTTCTGGAAGCTGTGCTTGGGTCCCTAACTTTGCCACATGAACCTTATTCCTTTGCTGATTTGGATCACTCTCCTTTCTCTGTAATAAATCTCAGGCTCGAGTTCAACACCTCTGAGCAAATTGCTGAGTCCGGAGTGGTCCTAGAGTCCCAAACGTAGCCCCCAAATCTGCGTACATGTGAGCCCCAGCCCTGGATCGACCCATGGGTACAGCACAGGGTCAGAGAATTGAGGGGGCAGGAGTGGCCCGCTGAAGTGCTCGTGCTGCCAGGTTGGAGGTCTTAGTTCCCGGGGGGCAGAGGGACACTCCCACCAATGGAAACAAGAAAGGAGTCCCCACTGGCCTGGGGGGAGTAGCCGCCACCCGGCCACTTTGGGCCCTGGACTCCTTAGGCCCCGGACCAGCATCACAGATTGTCCTGGGTGACTAGTGTCACTGCTATGCAACTAGGGCAGGAGAGTGTGGGACACCTGCGGGACTCCCACCTGCACCAGAGGACAGCCACTGCGGCATTGACCCGATTAGAACGGGGACAACACGGGCTCAACCTGCTGAGGGGAAAAGCCCCCGTCACTCCCCCGATAACCAGCCAAAGATCTGAGGGTAGGCAGATGGCAGGTGGTGAATCCCAGAGGACGCCAGCCATCACGGCCTCAGACCGGGGGCAGGTGCAGGGCCGTGGCTGGCTCCCCGCCCTCACGCTGCATTCATCTCGGAGACCAGGACCTCGAAGGGGACACTGTGCTGGCAGGACTGGGCTCTTGCCTGCTACAGTGTGTCCATCCAACCTGCTCTTCTTATGTCCTGATGTTGGTCTTGCCTCTCTTGAGGGTCAAGGTCTGTGTTCCCGTCCCTGGAGCCCGAGCGGAACTTTGTGACCACCTCGACCCACAGAGGCTACTGGGAATAACACTATACGATTTCCGAGGCTTGGTCTTAAAACACCGTACGTGCCCACCTTGTTGTCTTTTGAGGTCAGCTGGAGGTCACCTTCCAGGAAGCACTGGCTGCACTGACAGGCCATGCCCCGGCCGTCTCAGGTCCGGATCAATAGCCAGCATCAGTCACCGAAGACATGGGAGAGGAAGCCCTCAGGACCACAGCTGTCGCCATCTGCCGTGAGCACCAGCAGGAAAGATCCTGAGTGCAAACAACCTAGACGGGCCCAGACAAGCTCCAGGACTGCAAGACTTAATGACATGATTATGCTTTGTTACTCGAAGTGACTGAGGTTACCCAGCATGAGACAAACAGCTGTACAAGCCCTGCTAGACCCGTCCTGGAAGCAGCGAGCATGTCTTCATTCTCGAAGGGGAACAAGGCCCATTTTATTTCTTTACTTATTTTAAAGATTTTATTTATTTATTTGTCAGAGGGAGAGAGAGAGCGCGCACAAGCAGGGGGAGCAGCAGGCACAGCAGGCAAGGGAGAAGCAGACTCCCGGCTGAGCAGGGAGCCCGATGCGGGGCTTGATCCCAGGACGCCGGGGATCATGACCTGAGCCCAAGGCAGACACTTAACTGAGCCAGTCAGGTGTCCCCCAGAAGAGAAATTATTAAATTTCCTACTATCTAGAACCCGTTGACAAGTCCTTGGAACAAGCAGAGCGACCTTCCTCTAGGGGCTCAGCTGCCTTGATGCTGACACTTTGCTAAAGGCAAGAGGCAATCCTAGCCCGACCCCCAGGATCCTGTAAGTCTACTTCAACATATAAAAATTTGGGGCGCCTGGGTGGCTCAGTGGGTAAGCGTCTGTCTTCGGCTCGGGTCATGGTCTCAGGGTCCTGGGATCAAGCCCCACGTTGGGCTCCCTGCTCAGTGGGGAGCCTGCTTCCCCCCCCCTCTCTGCCTGCCTCTCTGCCTGCTTGTGATCTCTCTCTCTGTCAAATAAATAAATAAATTAAATATTCTTTAAAAATACTGATGCATAGTTTGTATTGTACACGTGCAAGCTCATATTCTTTTTATTTTTTTAAAGGATTTTATTTATTAATTTGGCAGGGAGAGAGTGCACAAACAGAGAGGAGAGGCAGAGGGAGAAGCAGACTACGTGCTGAGATCCCTTGGCGGGACTCACTCCCAGGACCCCAAGATCATGACTTGAGCCAAAGGCAGAAGCTTCACCATTTAAGCCGCCCAGGCGCCCCTCATATTCTCTTTAGATAGTGGCGTAGGAAAGACGTTAGGGTTGGAAGGACCTGGCCAAGAAGGAATTCTTTTTTTTTTTTTTTTAATTTAGTTACTTGATAGAAATCAGAAGTAGGTAGAGAGGCAGGCAGAGAGAGGAGGAAGCAGGCTCCCTGCTGAGCAGAGAGCCCGATGCCAGGACTCCGATGCCAGGACTCCGGGATTATGACCTGAGCCGAAGGCAGAGGCTTTAACCCACTGAGCCACCCAGGCGCCCCAAGGAAGAATTCTTGAAATGTCTTTGGTGCAAAAAGGTGGTTTTATTAAAGCACTGGGACAGGACTGGGGGCAGGTAGAGCAGCACTGGGGTCCCGGGGAGGGGCCCATTATATACTTCCAAGTTGGGAGGGGTTAGGGAGAGTGCAGGCCTCCCAGGTATTTTGGGAACAAGGTTTCCAGGACCCTGAGGGGGCAGCTCTTGTTAGAAGGTCATGCACTACTGTTCCATGAAAACTCAGTCCTGAGACCTTTCGGATGTATCTCGGTGCGTGTATGCTTGGGGCAATGATGGCCACCACGTATCTTGGGGGTTTAGAGATAAAGGAAGTTTCCAGAGGAATTTTTCTATGTTTTTTTAAAAAAGAGTTTTTGTTTATTTATTTGACAGACAGAGATCACACGTAGGCAGAGAGGCAGGCAGAGAGAGAGGGGGCTGAGCAGAGAGCCCCACGCCGGGCTCCATCCCAGGACCCCGAGATCATGACCCCAGCGGAAGGCAGAGGCTTAACCCACTGAGCCCTCCAGGAGCCCCATCGTCAGTAATTTTAAGGGACAAACGTAAACACTAAACTGTAAGGACAAAACACAATGCATGCCTCAGCTTGGGAGAATGAATGCATTTATGGCTGCAAAAGAACGAGAAACCATCAGAGACAGGACGCGGCTTCCTTCGAGCTGCGTCCGCCCACCGGACCCACAAGGAGCCTCCAGGCAGGCGGAGTCGCAGAGAGGAGCCGGCCGCCAGAGCCCGCGGGTCGCAGGTGCCGGGGCAGGTGCGGGGGGAGGGGCGGGGCGGGGCGGGAACGACCGGCGCAGGCGCAGGGGCTCGGTGGGGGGCGGGGCCAGCGGGGCGCAGGCGCGTGCGGTAGAAGCCAGGGAGCCCGGGGAGTACGAGAACCGTCCCCACGGCGAACCCGAAGGGGCGCGACGCGGGCAGTTCTTCCCCGAGCCAGTCTCCACCTCTGGCCGCCGTGAGACAGCTCCCCAAAACGGCAGCAGGCACAGTCTTTCTCCCCTGGCTCAGCACCGCCGAAGATTCCCGGGGCCGGAACTGAGGGAAGTGGCGCGGCGGGGGAGCGTAGTTTCCCAGGACCGGAAGTGGGGGGAGTAGGGCCGCCGGGCCCCCTGGGGGAACCGTAGTTCTCCAGGCCGAAAGTGGGGGCCGGACCGCCGGAAACCGCGGGCCCCGGGAGGGCGGAAGTGCGGGTCAGAGCCGCCGGGAACTGTAGTTCTGCGGGAGACGGAAGCGCGGCCCGCGGCCCGCGGCCGGGCGCCATGGCGGGCCTAGAGCTCCTGTCGGACCAGGGTTACCGCGTCGACGGACGACGCGCTGGCGAGCTGCGCAAGATCCAGGCGCGGATGGGCGTGTTCGCGCAGGCCGACGGCTCGGCCTACATCGAGCAAGGCAACACCAAGGCGCTTGCGGTGGTCTACGGGCCGCACGAGGCGAGTGGGGCGAGCGAGCCGGGCGGTGCGCGGGGCCTCCGGGCCGGGCTGAGCCTCGGGGGGCCCGGCCGGCGCGCGCCTCCGTTCGCCCAGCCCATCCTCGGGGCCGCCCCGGCGCACTCGGAGTCAAAGCCGGGGCCCCTGCAGTGTGAGGCGGCGCGTTCCCTCCGGAGCACCGACCCTCGCTGTTCCGAAAGCACCGGGCGCGCCCCCTCCCCTTCTCCTCCGGACTGACCACGCTGGCGTCATCCTCCGGGATGTACCGGACTTGCGTGTCGAGCCCCTCCGCTACCACCCCACGCTTCCCTGCCTCTCCCTACCCAGTCACCGCGGGCGTCCGTTCCGGAGCCTCTCGCTGGACGCCTCCTTGGGCCGTAAACTCCGTGAGGTCGGGGCTGTGAATGAATCTCCCGGCTCTACTGCCCCGTCTCCATTGCCGGAGAAGGGAGGAGCGCGGGGGTGGCGACGAGCGAGGCGGGTTTGCAGGGCATAGGGCTGCCGGTGGGGAGGTGCGGAAGGACTCCAAGTGGGATCCAGTCGTCTCTAGGGAAGCAGCAACTCGCCACATTGTTGATCAGGGACACTGTTGAGGATTTTATGTCGCACGTGGTGGGGCAGCTTGGGAGGCAGCCGAGCTGAGGGCGTCACACTGGGTATTTGCGAACCTACCAGCTCTCGCTACCAGTGGAGAACGGTTGGGAGGGCATGAGGCAGGGAAGAAAGGGGGAGGCCTTGTTAAGAGAAATCCTGTCCAGGCGTGGTGGTGGCTTAGAGACTGGCCACGCAGCCCTCCCGCAGGCTGCTTTGCAGGTAAAGTAGGAGGGTGAGAGGGAAGCTGAGGCCTGGGTCTGAGCCAGAGGAAGGTGTAGTGGGAGCTGGGGAGCAGTGAGCCCGGCTTATGTGTCCTTCCTCCCCCAGATCCGAGGCTCTCGAGCACGAGCCCTGCCAGACAGGGCCCTGGTGAACTGTCAGTATAGTTCTGCGACCTTCAGCACAGGTGAACGCAAGCGTCGACCACATGGGGACCGTAAGTCTTGTGAGATGGGCCTGCAGCTGCGTCAGACCTTCGAGGCGGCCATCCTTACACAGCTGCACCCACGCTCCCAGATTGATATTTACGTGCAGGTGAGCAAGCAGCAGCCATCAGCCCAGGGAGGGAGAGGGACGGGGGCGAGGAGGGTTTGGGAGCCAGGGGTCAGGAGCCTAATGGACGGATGCTACCGGGGCTACTGCAGGTACTGCAGGCAGATGGCGGGACCTACGCAGCTTGTGTGAACGCAGCCACGCTGGCAGTGCTGGACGCTGGAGTACCCATGCGGGACTTTGTGTGCGCCTGCTCCGCTGGCTTTGTGGACAGCACAGCTCTGGCGGACCTCAGCCACGTGGAAGAGGCCGCTGGCGGTCCCCAGCTGGCCCTGGCCTTGCTGCCGGCCTCAGGCCAGATTGCGCTGCTTGAAATGGATGCCAGGCTCCACGAGGACCACTTAGAGCCGGTGCTGGAGGCCGCTGCCCGGGCTGCCCGGGACGTGCACACACTGCTGGACCGTGTGGTTCGACAGCATGTACGTGAGGCCTCTGTTTTGTTAGGGGACTGAACATCTGCACCCCCCGCTCCGTTCCCAGAATAAAACCCACACACAGTGTGCTGAACTTTGATCTCCCACGGTGCTTCCACACCCTCAGAGCCTGGCCTGGTGCTTGCACTCAGGGGTGACTAGGGACCGTCCCTGTCCCCCACACATGAAGGACATACCGCTTGCAGTCTCAAGAGTCATAGCCCAAAGAAGAAGTTGGGGCAGGCGTGTCCCAGGATGGACAGAGCAGTTGTTCCAGGAAGGGTTTAAGGCCGCTGAGCAGTGAGGTGTGGCCTGACATAATGAGCCAAGCCAAAGTCTGTTTTCCCGCCAGCACATCTGGGGCCCACCATGGCGATGTGGGGGCCATGTCTCACATCTTCCCGACTATAGCTTGGACCGAATGGCCCCTTCCACCCTAGGAGCCCTTTGGGCCTATAGAGCCTCAGACTCCAACAAAAGTACAACAGATACAGGTTCTCACCTGGGGGAAGGAGGCGGGTCTTCTCTACACACCTGTGCCCTGAGCACCAGCCCCTGCAGCCCTCCCCGCACACCTCCCGATCTGAACAGGAGTGCTCCCCGCTTTTTACTCCACATACCCCAGCTCCTTTGAAACCCGTTTTGGCCAAGAGTACCATCTGCACTTTAATGCCTGGGGTCATCTGACCCTGATGACCTCGACGCTGCGTTCACACGGGGATTTCCCTTGTGCACTCGCTGCCGTTTCTGACCAACATCCGTAGGAATGGGTCTGCCACTGCCCCGGTCTCTCAGTCCAAGCGAACGTTCCTCCTTCCGTCCTCCCCGCCCCCCGGGGCGCTCGACCTGTCGCTGCCAGTGGCGGCTCGTTCGGAATGCTGGGGCGGCCGAGCTCTCCAGACCCCCGCAGCCTGCCCTGTTCTTCCGTCTCTGATTCTGCAGGTCGGAGCTCTCTGGCTCTGCCCCGCCAGCCCGGGCGCCGTGCTTGTCCTGAAGGCGCGTCCTGCCGGGGAGCGCGCCGCCTCTGCTCGGAGCATGCGCGGCGGCGCGAGGGCCGTCGGGACCGGAAGTGCGAGCGGGCGCGGAGCGGCGGCAGGACCGGAGCGCGGCCCCGGGCCCGCGGCTGGACCTGCCGGCCGAGCGCGGCCCACGAGCCGCCCTTCCCCGCCATGGGCCTCCTGTCGGACCCGGTGCGCCGCCGCGCCCTCGCCCGCCTCGTGCTGCGTCTCAACGCGCCGCTCTGGTGAGCGCGGGGCCGGGGCGGGAACCCGGAGGACCCGGGGCTCGGGCTGCCGGCGCCCCCGTTCCCCCGCGGGCTGCTTGCGCCCGCGGTTCAGCTCCCCCGTCCGACATCCCGAGAGCCTGGACCCCCGGGCCGGGTCCCTCCGACACGCCCCCGCCGTCCCCGGTGCAGCGCGGGGAGGTCCCGGGCCGGAGCGCGCGGACCCGCTAATGCTCCGGGGCGCCATCGCTCCCTCTCCCCGCAGCGTGCTGAGCTACGTAGCGGGCATCGCCTGGTTCCTGGCGCTGGCTTTCCCGCCGCTGACCCAGCGCACTTACATGTCGGAGAACGCCATGGGCTCCACCATGGTGGAGGAGCAGTTCGCGGGCGGGGACCGTGCCCGGGGCTTGGCCCGAGACTTCGCTGCGTACCGCAGGAAGTCGGGGTGAGCCGGACAGCTGCGGGCGTGGGGAGATAGTGGTGGCCAGAGGCAGGGAGCTCTGCCTAGCGGCTCTCCTTGTGTCCCTAGGGCTCTGCCAGTGGCGTGGCTGGAGCGGACGATGCGGTCAGTGGGGCTGGAAGTGTACACGCAGAGCTTCTCGCGGAGGCTGCCCTTTCCTGACGAGACCCACGAGCGCTACGTATTGTGGGGGAGAGGAGTGCCTGGGACCAAAACGCACCTGGGGAGGGTGGCTTGGGGCCGGGAAGCCCGGTGGTGGCATGTCCCGGGCCCGGGAAATCCCTGGTGGGCAGACTAGGGCGACGAGGGAGGGCAGTCCTCCGGGGTAGGGTGGTGTTAAGTCTTCCCCATACCGTGTGCAGATGGTGTCTGGTACCAACGTGTATGGCATCCTGCGGGCCCCGCGCGCTGCCAGCACCGAGTCCCTGGTGCTCACTGTCCCCTGTGGCCCCGACTCTACCAACAGCCAGGCTGTGGGACTGCTGCTGGCCCTTGCTGCTCACTTTCGGGGTGAGGCTTGGGGGCTGCTGCAGGCAAGGGATGGTTTGGCCCCTGCTCCAGGCCCTGCTGACCTAGCTTCTGGTGTCCAGGGCAGATTTACTGGGCCAAAGACATCATTTTCCTGGTGACAGAACAAGACCTTCTGGGCACGGAGGCTTGGCTGGAGGCCTACCACGACGTCAACGTCACCGGTGGGTCGTCTCCCCCGGTCCCTCTCTGTGAACCGCTGTCCTCATCGGCCCCCCATAGGCAGCTCCTTCCCCTGCTCCCACAGGCATGCAGTCATCCCCTCTGCAGGGCCGGGCAGGGGCCATCCAGGCAGCCGTGGCTCTGGAGCTGAGCAGTGACGTGGTCACTAGCCTCGATGTAGCTGTGGAGGGGCTCAATGGGCAGCTGCCCAACCTCGATCTACTCAACCTCTTCCAGACTTTCTGTCAGAAAGGGGGGCTGCTGTGTACGCTGCAGGGCAAGGTAAGGGGGGCTGCTGTGTACGCTGCAGGGCAAGGTAAGGGGGGGCTGCTGTGTACGCTGCAGGGCAAGGTTAGGGGGGCTGCTGTGTACGCTGCAGGGCAAGGTTAGGGGGGCTGCCTTCCAGGGAAGCCTGGGCTTCCCACGGGCTTTTCTCTGGGAGGCTTCTCTCTGGGGGGCTTCTCACCCTGCCCCCAAACCTTTTAAGCTGCAGCCCCAGGACTGGACATCCGTCGATGGGCCGCTGCAGGGTCTGCAGACCTTGCTGCTCATGGTTCTACAGCAGGCCTCCGGCCGCCCCCATGGCCCTCATGGCCTCTTCCTGCGCTACCGTGTGGAGGCCCTGACCATCCGTGGCATTAACAGCTTCCGACAATATAAGTATGACTTGGTGGCAGTGGGCAAGTAAGTGGCTTTTGGCCCCCGCTTCCATGCTTGGGGTGGGGGAGGGGGGTGGTCTGGGGGGCCTGGGTGGCCATGACGCTGCCCCACCCTGGCAGGGCCCTGGAGGGCGTGTTCCGCAAGCTCAACCATCTCCTGGAGCGCCTGCACCAGTCCTTCTTCTTCTACCTGCTCCCGGCACTGTCCCGCTTCGTGTCCATCGGCCTCTACATGCCCGCTGCCGGCTTTCTGCTCTTGGTCCTTGGTCTCAAAATATCCTCTGAACCCCCTGTCTGCGTGTGGCCAGCCCAGGTCCTCTCCACTCTAGGCTGGGGAGAGCCCTCCGTCCTTGGGGGAGTGGGAGTGAGCCCTGGGTCTGCTGCCGGGTAGGTTCCGTCACACTAGTCGTCAGGGTCCTTGACTAGACCACGCTCTGGAGCTGTGGATGCAATTGCATGAGGCCGGAGTGGGCCCCGAGGAGCCTGGGGGGGCCTCTGGACCTAGCCCTCCCGTCCTGCCAGCACAGGTGATGGTCCCCCAACTCTTGCTGTTGGGACGGGATTCCAGGTGGTCGTCCCTGCGGTAGCTCAGTCTCGATTGGTGGGGTGGTGGTGAGGATCCTTGGGGCTCCCTTGGCCCCAGGGCCTATCTCCCATTGTCTATGTACCGTGCAGAGCGTCGGGCTGGCCTCGCTTGTGGGGCCCTTGCTGATCTCACAGGCCATAGGTCTGGCCCTCTACATCCTGCCGGTGCTGGGCCAACACGTGGCTACCCAGCACTTCCCCGTAGCCGAGGCCGAGGCCGTGGTGCTGACTCTGCTGGCCATCTACGCGGCAGGCCTAGCCCTTCCACACAGCACCCAGCGGTGAGGAGCTGGGCTGGGGCAGGGGGGCACCCTGGCCACACAGGCCAGGCATCTGAGCCCCTTTTCCTGCAGGGTGGTGAGTGCACAGGCCCCAGACAGAGGCTGGATGGCACTGAAGCTGGTGGCCCTCATCTACCTGGCACTCCAGTTAGCCTGCATCACCCTCACCAACTTCTCGCTGGGCTTCCTGCTGGCTGCCACCATGGTGCCTGCTGCCGCGCTCACCACGCCCTGCGGGCCCCGGTACGTGCCAGCCTGCCCCACGTTGCGGAGTTCAGCGCGCGCTGCCCCTCCCCAAGCCCAGGGCCTGCGCTGCTTCCCACCCCCGTGCCCTCAACGGGATGCCCCTCACTCCCCTGCCCTGCCCTGAGCCCGACCTGATCCCGCTTCTCCCCCCAGGCCCCTCTACGCTGCCCTGCTGGTGCTGACGAGCCCAGCAGCCACGCTCCTGGGCAGCTTGTTCCTGTGGCGGGAGCTGCAGGAGGCCCCGCTGTCCCTGGCCGAGGGCTGGCAGCTCTTCCTGGCGGCGCTGGCCCAGGGTGTGCTGGAGCACCACACCTATGGTGCCCTGCTCTTCCCGCTCTTGGCTCTGGGCCTCTACCCCTGCTGGCTGCTCTTCTGGAACGTGCTTTTCTGGAAGTGACGTGCGGCTCACAGCTCTGCAGCGTCAGGACTTGGGTGATGCACCCCCACGTTGTCTTCTTGGGAAATAAACAGTTTTGTTTCAGCTGCCCTTTGGTGCCGCTGGCCAAGTGTCTGCTGTCCGTGTGGGGCCCCCCAAGCCCCTGGGCGAGAAGCTCTGCGTGAAGGCTTGGCCTTCCCAGATACTTCCTTCTCGAAGGGCACCGCCCGGCCCCCCTGCTGCTGGCAGAAGTGAGGGCCCGAGCCACATGAGCCTCAGAGGAGAGCCTCTGGTGGATGCTGGGCTCGGGACCTGGAAATGGCCCATGCTGACCCTGCCCAGGCCCCCGCCCCATGAACGTCACGGTAGGAGGCAGGGTGCTGGGTAGGAGGAAACGATGGGAGCAGGGCTTGGGGCCTGATGGGCTCTGGGTGCCCAGAGACCACACTGCTCCGTCTGCAGCGCTGGCATGGAAGAGGCAAAGGGGCGGGAGCTGGAGCCCTGCAGAGGCTTATGGTGTGGGCGGGGCACCTCCCGGGGCCAGAACCTCTGTGGGTCTGGAAGGGGCACCTGCTTCCTTGGAGCTGAGCCAGTCCAGGCCAGACGCCCCTAAGATCCAGGGCCACAGAGGAGCAGGCAGGCCACGGGACCCCGGAAAGGAGTTGGGAGGTTGGTGTCTGTCCTGGAAGGAAGAAAAAAGCAAAACGGATTCTTTAGCAATGCCAGGGCCACATCCGCTCCCAGGAGGGCCTCTGCCGTCACCTGATGGGGTGGGCGGAAGGCAGAGTGGCCCTACCTGCAGAGTGGTCTGGGGACCAGTGTCCTTCAGTGCCACACCCAGAACGGTGGGGCCTGGGAAGGCCTGTGGGGGAAGGTCTAGCCCCCAGGGCGTGCTGGTTGTCTGCTGATGGGCGCCTCTGTGTCTGGCATGATGGGGGGTGGTGGTGCCGTCAGGGTGCTGGAGACCCCACGGGCACGAGCAGCCTGTCGCTGGCCAACTGTTCCCATGATCCCGCGGGGGCCTGTAGTTCCTTTATTGTTTTTCTGCTCCTGAGGCTTGAGAGAGCGGTCACGCCCGCACCCCCAGGCCGCCTCCCCGGCTGGCTTCTGTTGAGTGCCCTCTGGCAGGTTAGGCACCGCTACTCCATGGCCTCTCTGTCTTCTGAGTCGCACAGACATCTCCGCTCTGTCTTAGTCTCCGCCGTCTCTGTCTGTCCCTGTGGGCCTGCACCCAATACAAAATTCCTTCTGGGCCTTTCAGCCAAGCTTTGGCCTCAATCGGCCATTTTTTTTATTGCACTTAGTCACTTAAAGTACAAATCTTGAAAATACATTAAATCTTGGAACATACAAGTGGAGCCAAAAGCAAAAAGATCATCTCAGGTGTGCTCTGAACTTACCTCTGACAGAATTCTTCCTGTCCACACAAAAGATCTGAAACCATGGGAGCAACAAAGTTGATTTGTCAGGGAAGCAGAGTTTTTTTTTTAAGATTTCGTTTATTTGACAGAGATCACAAGTAGGCAGAGAGGCAGGCAGAGAGAGAGGAGGAAAAAGGCTCCCTGCCAAGCAGAGAGCCCGATGGAGGGCTCAACTCCAGGACCCTGAGACCATAACCTGAGTAGAAGGCAGAGGCTTAACCCACTGAGCCACCCAGGCGCCCCAGGGAAGCAGAATTTCTGTTCTGATTTTCAGTAATGTCATTTGTATGATACTTTTTTTTTTAAAGATTTTATTTGACAGAGCTAGCAACAGAGAGCACCAGCAGGGAGGAGAGGGAGAAGCAGGTTCCCCATGGAGCAGAGACCAGGACGCGGGACTCAGTCCCAGAACCCTGAGATCACAACCTGAGCTGAAGGCAGATACTTACCAAACTGAGCCACCCAGGCGCCCCTCTAGTACATTTTTTAAAACAAGGAAATGTCAGGGGCACCTGGGTGGCTCAGTCGGTTAACTGTCCGACTCAATCTCCGCTCAGGTCTTGATCTCAGGGTTGTGAGTTCGAGCCCTGCGTTGGGCTCCATGCCGCGCATGGAATCTGCTTCAAAGAGAAAAACAAGGAACTGTCAGGCTGTGAAAATGTAGGTCAGACATACAAGGACAGAATCTCGGGTCATAAATGCTTTATTTTGATGGTGTGGCAGGGTCTGCGACTTGTGTCCAGTATCTGTCCTCTGTAGTCATAGACCCCAATATGGATTCTTGTGCCTGGAGGTGTGGCCTTGTGACTATGCTGTGGCCAGAAGGGTAAGAACGGAAGCTTCCAGGGTGAGTACCAGGCAGACTTCACCCAGAGACACCGCCCTCTGAGCCCGATCCGTTCTCCTGCCCTCGGGAATGTGGAAGTGATGGCTGGAGCGTGGGGTGTGTCACGGCAGGAGGCACAGCCTGTGTTGGGAATGCAGGGAGAGGAGCGGGTACTCCCCAGCCACCCAGAGGCAGTGCAACCCGTTTACGGAGCTCCGTGTCGTGGAAGGGGGAGCAAACTTCTGCCTCACATAGCCCTGTTACTCTCTGACGCTTGCTTCTAGTTCCAACCAACACACGAGGGGCTGTCACCGAACCCAGTTCACAAGAGGGTGGGGACTCAGCCGCCAGCTGTCGCGCCCGGAGTCGGGCTTAATCGTGCGCGATCCTTCCTTGCTTGTTCCCACGACCCAGAACCGAAGCACCGTGGGGGGCGCGGAAGCTGTCCTACTCCCTGCCGCTTCTCCAGCTCAGAGCCAGACACCCGAGAGAATACTCATCTGCATTTGTTGAATGAGAGGGAAAAAAGCAGAGGGAGAGCCTCTGGAGGTCCCAAGGAAGCTCCAGGGGGCAGACGTGACAGCTCCTGAAGGGGCCTGGAGGGTCGCCTATGGCTTAGGGTGTGAGGTGAGCACAGGAAGGTGAGGGTAGCGGCCCCCCCACCAGCCAGGCCACCCTTCACCTACCTCCGAATGCCCAGCAGCCTCTGCACAAGCAGGCCCACTATGGACGCCCTACTTGGCCTTGGGGTGCTTCTAGCAACTCACCTGCCTGTCCCAGGTTTCCTGAGCTTTTGCGAATCGTTTTCCTGGTCGCCCCTCCCCGCCCGAGGTTCCGGTGTGGGCAGCTCAGGGCACCGTTGTCGGACTGAGGGGGTCTGTCTGTCTAGGGGGGTCCGGTTCGAAGAGTCTGACGTTTGCTGCAAAACCCTCCCTTTTAAAGGGATCTAACGGGTCTCGGGCCTGCAGATGCCCTCTGCTTCTGCCGGTCATCAGTGCTGGACGTGGCAGGATCTCGTGGCTGCGGTACCTTCAACGGCTTGTGCATTGCCAGACACAGGTTTCTGCTTGAGTGAAAAACTCTGTCTTGCTCTCTTACGGTGTTCTATAATTTTGTTGTTGTTGCTGAAAACTGGACATTTTAGGGGCGTCTGAGTGGCTCAGGTCATGATCCCCAGGGTCTTGGGATCCAGCCTGCAGGGGGCTCCTTGCTCAGCAGGGAGCCTGTTTCCCCCTGCTGTGCTCTTTCTGACAAAATCTTTAAAAAGAAAGAAAACTAGATTTTCTAAATCTTTAAAAAAATATTTGTCAGAGCGCGCGCACAAGCAGTGGGAAGGGCAGGGGCAGGCGCAGAAGCAGGTTCCGCTCGGAGCAGAGAGCCCCGCGCGGGGCTCGGTCCCAGGACCCCGCAGCAGGAGCCCAGCCGAAGGCCCACGCGTCACTGGCTGGGCCCGGGGGCGCCCGAACTAGACATTTTAAGTCCTAGGATGTGGCGACGCTGGGAATTGGACTCCAAGGAGCCGGCGGGGGCCGGCGGGGGCCGGTCGGGGCTGTCTGCGCCGGGACGGGACAACCGGCTCCGCCTGGCCTGCAGCATCCGCCCTGCGGAGTCCCGGGTCCCCCTTCGCTCGGCCCTCGGGTGGGCTCGCGGCCGGCGGACGTGCAAGCAAGCGCTAAGCTCCCTGCTCTCCCGGCAGCTCTGCGCCCCGCGGAGGCCGCCCGCGAGCCCTGGGCCGGGCGGGCCGCACGCCTGCCGGGCGCTTCCCCTAACCGAGCGCCGAGCCCGCTGGTCCACCACACAGAAGCCCCGGGGGCGTCTTCGGGTCGCGCGCGTTCGTCTCGGGACCCTTTCCTGCTCCGACGCGGCCCCGCGGGGTTGCTGCTCCCCGACCTCCGCGCCCCGTGGCCGCTGGCGGCTCTGAACCCACCAGCCCGCCCGCCGCCCTCGGCGAATGGCCCCAGGGCACAGCTCGCCCGGGCCCGAGCCAGCGCAGGGGGCTCCGCGGGGGGCGTTCAGGGCCGCAGACACTGTCGGCAGTGGCTCCGGCGGGGACGCGGCTCCGCCCCTCGGGGCCAGCGGCGGCTCCAGCCCAGGAGAAGGGGAGACGCCTCCAGGACCGCTGCCCGCCGGGACGCGGCAGGCCTCGGGCGGGTCTCCAGACCCGTCGCTGCGAGCGTCCTCCTGGCACGTGCGGGGCCGCGAGGCCCCGGCCCTGCGCTCCCACCGACGGCCGACGCCGGGCTGCCCAGGGGCCTGGGATGCCCCGACGGCTCCCGGCGATAACGTAAACCCTCGTCGGGCGGATGAGGGCGAAAGGTGTCCGGCCCTGCGCGGAGCCCCCGGCCCGCCGGCCCTGCTCGCCCCCACCCGGAGCCCGGACCCTGCCCGGGCGGCAGACAACGCTGCGCGGAAGCGCGCGACCGGCGGGAGGCGACCGGACCGGGAAGCCGCGGGAGCCGCGATTGCCCCCAGCTCGGGCCCCGCCCACTTCCGGTCTCCGCGAGGAGCGCGGCTCGGCGGAACCCCGCCCCGACGGCCAGGCCCTGGCCCCGCCCCTCAGGCTCTCGCGACATCTGGGCTCCGGGACCGCCGCGGGGCCTGACGGGAACAGCCGTCGCGCCGGAGAGGGCCAAGATGGCGGCGGCGGCGGCTTCGCTTCGCGGGGCGGTGCTGGGCCCGCGGGGCGCGCGGTTGCCGGGCGCGCGGGCCCGGGGTCTGCTGTGTGGCGCGCGGCCCGGCCAGCTCCCGCTGCGGACGCCTCAGGTGAGCTCTGGCCGCGACCCCGTCCGCCGTGTGGCCCCGCAGCCCTTGAAGGTCACGGCGGGGAGGCTCTGGGCGCGGGCCGGGCAGCGAGGGAGCGGCCTCGACCTCCCGGCGCCTCTGCCCCGGCCGGATCCCCGCCGCCTGCCGACCTGAGGACCCCGGGAGCAGGACCAGGCGCCCAGTCCTCCCGAGTAGCAGAGGCGCTCTGTGCGGAGCGTGGGGGGCGGCGGGGCGGGCTCGCTGCGGGCTCGGGGCTGGGGGCTTCTCCCGGGGGGCGCGCCCAGGCTCGCTTCTGCTCCGGCCTTCCAGCTTGGGCCTGCGTCCTGAAGTGACCTCAGCCTGACCTCGGACAGCTGCCTTGTGACCTTGGCCTGCCCGGGCACCCTTGCTCGAATCCACCTCGTCCCCAGGCCCGGAGCCCAACAGCAGCCTTACACCTCCTCCTCAGGGCCGAATCGCGGTCGAGGAGCCGGCGCGGCGGGGACGGGGGGCGGGGGCCGCGGTGCCCCGCAGGAGTGGCGGGTGCTGCGTGGATGAGTGAGAGAGGTGGGCGCTGAGAGGAGGAGCCCCAGGTAGGGCCGGGTGGTGTTCTGGCAGGCGCTGAGCGGGGCTCTTGCAGGCAGTGTCCTTGTCGTCGAAGGCCGGTCTGTCCCGGGGCCGGAAAGTGATGCTGTCAGCGTTGGGCATGCTGGCGGCAGGGGGTGCAGGGCTAGCTGTGGCCCTGCATTCCGCCGTGAGTGCCAGTGACCTGGAGCTGCACCCCCCCAGCTATCCGTGGTCCCACCGTGGCCTCCTCTCTTCCCTGGACCACACCAGGTGTGCTGCTGGCTGGCTGCGGCCCTGTCGGGGTGGGCTGGGCGGGGTGGAATCCTTGGCGCCCGTGACGCTCCTCCTCTCTCCAGCATTCGGAGGGGTTTCCAGGTGTACAAGCAGGTGTGCTCCTCCTGCCACAGCATGGACTACGTGGCCTACCGCCACCTGGTGGGTGTTTGCTACACGGAGGAAGAAGCGAAGGCGCTGGCTGAGGAGGTGCGGGGCCCAGGGATGAGGAGGACCTGGGGATTGGGGTTCCCACTGTGGTGGACAGCAGGGTTGTGATGGGCTCTTCGTGGCAGGTGGAGGTTCAGGATGGCCCCAACGAGGATGGGGAGATGTTCATGCGGCCCGGGAAGCTGTCGGACTACTTCCCCAAACCGTACCCCAACCCGGAGGCTGCTCGAGCAGCCAACAACGGGGCACTGCCCCCTGACCTCAGCTACATCACGCGGGCTAGGTACATGGACTTCCTGCAGAGGGATGTGGGGAGGGGCACAGAGGGCCATCTTGTGCCAGGGCTCAGGAGGCACGGATCTGCTTCCAGGCACGGTGGTGAGGACTACGTCTTCTCCCTGCTGACGGGCTACTGTGAGCCACCCACAGGGGTGTCGCTGCGAGAGGGCCTCTACTTCAACCCCTACTTTCCTGGCCAGGCCATTGGCATGGCTCCTCCCATCTACGACGAGGTTCTGGAGTTCGATGACGGTGAGAAGCCACCCCCGCCTGGGAATCAGCATGCTGGGTCCTCCTCTTCCCACTGCCAGGGATGCTTCCCGTGTGGGCCCTGCATTCTTCCTTGGCTCAGGCACTGTGTGCATGTGTGCGCGCGTGCCAGCTTGTGGGCAGCCTCCACGGTTGCAACTAGCCCAGACCCCTGTGTGCTGGGGGCGAGGGGATTTCGGTTCCTTGTGAAGCCTTGGTGAGGACCCCGTCTCGGCTCTGTGACGGCGGGGCTCCAGGGCTACCCCAGTTTGGGTAGGGACCCCTAGGGGCAGCCCTTACCACTTGTCCTTGGCCCAGGCACCCCAGCCACCATGTCCCAGGTGGCCAAGGACGTGTGTACCTTCCTGCGCTGGGCATCTGAGCCAGAGCACGACCATCGCAAACGCATGGGGCTCAAGGTAAAAGGGTTGGGTGTGGGAGAGGGGCTGGGAACCGGGTAGGGTTCCTTTCTGCTTCCTCCGGCTGAGCCTGCCTCGTCCCCAGATGTTGATGATGATGGGCTTGCTGTTTCCCTTGATCTACGCCATGAAGCGACACAAGTGGTCAGTCCTCAAGAGCCGGAAGCTGGCATACCGGCCGCCCAAGTGACCCTGCCCTGTGTCTGCTCACTGTCTGGTCTGGATAGGCTCTCCAGCCCAGGAGCCGCTCTGGACCTGTTCAGGCCTCAGCTGGCCCTCTTGAAAAGCCCCAATTTCTTGGGTAAAAGAGGGGAGGGGCCAGGAGACCAGGTTCTGGCTCCAAAATCTTCAGTCTCCATCATGGAAATAAATTAAGTTTCTCAACACACAGGTTTGAGCTGCTGTGATGGGAGCAGGGTTTTCCCAGGATTCTGGGACCGAGATCCTGGCTCTCAAGCTCCCCGGGGTACACTGTGGGGCGTGGCCGGCATTGCCGGAGAGACCAGGGGCTGCCGTTGTACTGAGCCTGGGACAGGGAACCGCTGTTAGGGAAAGCTGCAGTACTCGCCGAGGTGAAGAGGGCCTGGCTCGGCCACACCAGGCCTGGGGGTCTGGTGGGGTAACCGGCCCTGCGTCAGTGCGTCAGTGGGTCAGGACGTGAACCGCTTGGCTTCTATCCCGAGGGCAGCAGTTCACTGGTGGGCGGGTGGGGTGGGCTGGGCTCGGGGAGGAGCTGCTGGGGAGGGGAGACAGACTCTGGCCACACTGAGAGCAGAGCGGGCAGAGGCCACCCCGAACGTGCTCCTGGTCTCAGCCAGGCAGCTGGAACAGGCTAAGGGATGGCACCTCCCAGCAAGCCGCAGGGCACCACAGGGCCCTGCCTTGGGGCTCCTGGCACCTGAGCCTTTCTTGCCCCCAGGAGGATGTAAGGAGCACCTGGCTGGAGCAGCCCACGAGTGGCAGCTGGTGTCTGGGAAGCGGGGGAGCCGGGGAAGCGGGGAGCAGAGCACATGCTTCAAGGTTTTTGGGTGGACAAGAGGCATGGTGAGCGTGGGACTATGGGAGCTCTGGGTGCCCTTGGGCTCTGGGAAGAGCTCAGGCCCACGCTTCTAGGATCCCTGCAGTTTGGAGTCCCCAGTACTGGCCAGTTGACACCAAGACCTGGCTGGGTCACCTCGACCAGCTGATGAGGGCCAGGCCCCACCCCGGCAGCTTTTATCCCAGTGGGGCTGTGCTGCACCCCTCCTCCCCCGCGGCTGCTCAGTCTGCAGAAAGGCACAGAGATGCGGCACTTGGCTGGCTCAGAAGTGTCTTTAATGACTCCAGACTGTGCCCCTCCCCAGCCCAGGTGCTATCCTTAGTGAGCAGTCAGCAAAGGTCCCCTGCGAGTTTCAGGAGGGGTCCGCGGGCCTCGGGCCTGCAGGGACTGGGGCATCCTCTCTCTCTGTGACCTGGGGCTGAGGGAGAGCGTGGTCATTCTGCTTGTTCTGCTGCCCTGCCCCCGTGCCCTCCGCGGCCTCTGGTACCTTTGGTGGCTGCTGGGCAGAGGCTGCAGAAAGGGGATCCCAAGTGCAGGGCTTCTGGGTGCTGCACATCTCGCAGCCAGGTCGGCTGGGGGCGTTGATGAACGTGCAAGAAGGACAGGACCAGCTGGGCTGGGAAGGGGGTGGGGGAGGAGAGTTGCTGTTCCTCCTTCCTTCCAGGGCCCAGAGTCCCAGGCCCACCCTGTCCAGCCCCTTACCCACCTGAAGGGGGCTGGGGAGGCTGGAGCTGGCCGGCTGCGCAGCTCTGGGCACCCCCAGTGATGGAGGAAACAGGCGACTTAGTTCCCCATCCAACTTCTGGGGGCCCTGAGGGCTGTGTCCTGCAGTAGACGAGGTGGGGCTCAGGGGTGTGTCAGGTTGCACCTCGCCTTCCTCACCCCATCCATGTCAAGGACTCACCTGGGGCTTCTCGAGGGGCTGAAAGCAGGTAGAGGAAAGCAGGATCCCCATCCCGCCGGACCCCATAGGAGGCAAGGCTGCGCTCGGGCACACACAGGCACCGCCCGATGACCCAGCGCTGCACGGCGGGTGGGAAGCCAAACTCCGAGAACACCTGGGGCCAGAGCATCAAAGCCAGGTAGTGTCACTGAAGGTCCGCTGCCCGCAGCAGGGTTCTCCAGACCCCACGCTTACCTGCTCCTGGAGGGTCGCAATGGTGCAGTGGGGGTGAACTTGCAGCGAGACATGGGCAGAGGACGCAGCATCCTCAACCGTGACCTGTAGCCTGGGCCAGAACACAGGTCAGGGGGAAGGGTGGGGGTCCTGGAAGGGCTGGGAGGGCAGAGTGAAGCAGCCCTCACCTGACGGGGCCGGGAGGGAAGCAGGCCTCCTGGAGCTGGACACTGAGGGCCACATGATGCTGGGCCAGGATGGCCACAGCCTGGGCTGCCCCCTGCTCATCCCCAGCCTCGATGGCCCGGGCCAGGCGCCGCACCAGCTCTTCTGCACAGAGAGAAAAGGCCATCACAGCTGAGCAGACCGCTGCTTCCAGCCCCCTCCGCCACCTGCCTTTACCTTTCTCCACAGCATCTCCCGGGCTCCAACAAACATCCACCTTGGGTTGTAGGGCCTGGAGCGTGGGCACCTCAGGGGGACTGGGCGGGGAAACGGGGCACATTTCTGGGCCCAGGGCTTGGGACAGGCTGCCTAGGAGGGAAGATGTGGGGTGGGCTGGGGTCTCCTGAGATCCAGCCCCCAAGCCGAGTTCTTACCCAGGCCTCTGCTCTCTGACCTCAGGTTTCTAAGACATTTGCCACCACCTTGCTCACCTCAGCCCACGCCAGGGCTCTTGCCCATACATTAAGTCAGACTCCACCTTGGTCCTCATTAACCCCTAGAAGGTCCCTGCCAACTCCTCACAGCTGAAGCTGCACTCGGCTTTTCCTTGGGCTCTGGCATGCGGGCTGTTCCGTCCAGCCCCACCTAGGCCCACCCACCAAAGAGGCCCTGTCAGCCCACCAGGGATGCTCCCTTGGCCTCCCAGCAGAACCAAAGCAGATCCTCAGAAGGAGCCTGCCCCTTCCTGCTCACCAGGAGCCCTGCAATTGCGACTGTCCCCTCTCGGTGCCCTCAGGGACATCCACCCTCTCTACTGGCTCGACCATCAGCACAGGACAGCCTGGGGGCTCCCACTGCCTACTCAGGGCGCCCTTACAGAGCTGGCCGTGCTGCTGTCTCCCCTCTTTCCTTCCACCTGAGGCCCAGCCCACCCCTTGCTGATGCAGCTCCGAGGATGGCTTCAGGCCCTCACTGTTGAGCCGTGGGCCCCATGTGTGTGCCCCCAGGCCGAGGCCCAGCCCAGCCTCGAAACCCCAGAGGTCACACACACACTCTTGCCTGGAGGCTATCATACCTGCTGCTTCCGGGCCACATGGGTATGAAGATCACACTAGGATCTTCCAGTTTTACTCGTGTCACCTCAGTGAAGCCCTCCCGGCCACCCTTTATTTAAAACTGCAAACTCCATGGGGTGCCTGGGAGGCTCAGTGGGTTAAAGCCTCTGCCTTCAGCTTAGGTCATGATCCCAGGGTCCTGGGATGGAGCCCCACATTGGGCTCTCTGCTCAGCGGGGAGGCACGTGCCGCGCGTGTATGTGTGTGTGTCTCTTTCTCTGCTGCTTCTCTGCCTACTATATGATCTGTCAAATAAATAAATAAAATCTTTAAAAAAAACCCTGCAAACCCCACCCTTCCAGCACTCCCATCTCCTCCAACATCTGACACAATTTTACTTATTTTTTTCCCCAACTTACATATATAGGTATGTATATGTATATTTCTCGGAGGAGGGGAGAGGGACAAAGGGAGAGGGAGAAAGCATCTCAAGCTGACTCCACACTGAACGCTTAACCAGCTGAGCCACCCAGACACCCCCCAACCTAAGTATTTTTTAACTGAGGGGCACCTGGCTGGCTCAGTTGGTGGGGCATGTGACTCCTGACTTGGGGTCGTGAGTTCAACCCCCATGTTGGGTCCAGGGATTACTTAAATAAATTAGGGTCTCCTGGGGGGCTCAGTTAAGCATCTGCCTTCTGCCCAGGTCATGATCCCATGGTCCTGGATTGAGCCCCCACATAAGGCTCCCCGCTCAGCAAGGAGTCTGCTCTTCCCTCTCAACCACCACTTGTGCACTCTAATAAAATGTTCAAATAATGATTAAAAAATAAATAAACCTCTCCACCTAATCAATACGTTTGGACCGATACACCGGGTTCCATTAGTTCTAAGCCTACAACACAATGGTTCCACAATTCTCTCCGCAATGCTGTGCTCCCTGCAAGCGTACGTTTACGTATTTTATATGCCCGCCTCCCCTCCAGAAACGCAAGCTCCGAGAGAGCAGGATCTGAAGTTTGAGTCACACGAACTCTCCAAGGCCTGAAGCACTTAGTACAGAGCAGGTGCTGAGTCCCCAGCAGGTCAAGGGACGGACAGCCTTCCTCCCTCAAGTGCTGTGCTGTCTGGGCCTCTCCTAGGTCATACTGTACGGTTTCTTCTTAGCCCTCGGGCAGCGCTTCTGATACGTTTATGGGCCCTTTCCTCTCCTTCCCACTGCCTTCCTGTTGGATTCTCTTGCTCCTCTCTCCTAGTGACCCAGGGTTGACCTCTTCAGAGCCCCACCCCCAGCCCAGATCCACCCAGCTAAGCTCCTCTCCCCTCCGCACCCTTGCACACAGGCCCTGTCTGGGAGCTCCACAGTAATTCTCCCTCCAGCTCTGTGTCTCAACCATTAACTCCTCAACTTAAGTGGCTGTGAGACCCACCCAATTCCATCTGCTAAGCATCTCTGGTATCACTCTTCTCTCCAGCCCTATCTGCGTCGCCCCTACAGAAACACAGGTCTTAACCTCGAATCTGAGCCTGTCACAATCCCACTGAGTACACATCCCACTGCTCCAAATGCCATCAGTCTTACCCACACCCGGAGAACCTCCCTGCTCTGCCCCTCATGTGTCCGGTACTCCCGGCTCCAGCTTTTCCGCTTGGATGCCTTTTCTCCACTTTCTCCCTCCGGGGAGCTCGCTCAGGACCCACCAGTGGGTAAAGTGGGCCCCGCTTTCCCACCACTTCCCCCATCCAGGCCTGGGGGACTGGGGCTACTCCTGCTCTCTCCCAGCACCCACGGTCCCTGCCCAGCCGAAATGAATTTCACTCCAGAGCACTAACCATTCTGCCCCTCCATGGTGGCGCCTCGGACTAGCGCTGCCCACCGCTGAGCCTCCTGGGGGTTGAGGAAATGCAGGCTGAGGGTCCCAGGCCCTCCCGGTGGAGGCTGCAGCTCATGCTGGCTGGGGCCTCGGACCGTGTAGGAAACGGACTCCAAGGGCCACTCCAGACTGACCTGAGGAAGGGCAGAGTCCAGGCTCAGGGTCTTCCGCCAGCGCCCACTGCGCGATGACCAAAGGAACACGCGGTCACGTCTGCAGGCCACTGACCCGGACCTACACCCCTTCGCACGCCGCCCTCGGAACCTTCACGGGACGCCGCTAAAGACGGGCAGCACGGCCCTGGCCCCCGTTCTACAGACGAGGAGCCGGCCACAAGGGCAAGCCAAATGCTCAAGGGCACACGGCCGGCCCCGCTCAGGGGACCGGCCCCGGCTCGCCGCCCCGCCGCCCCAACTCACCGCCCCAGGCCCCGCGCCCAGCAGCTCCAGCCGGAAACGCCCGGGCCGCTCGGGGTCCGCGGTCAGCTGCAGCTTCCGCAGCTGTGCCTGGGTGTCCGGCCCCGCGCCCAGTGGCCTCACCGCGGCGTGCACAGCCAGGAGCACCGCGGCCGAGTCCGGGTCCGAGGGCGGCGCCATCTCCGGTCCGGCCCCCGCCCGGCCCCCCGAGCCCGCTTCCGTGCGCTCGGGCCGCTGAGCGCCTCGGCCGGCCGGAAACTGGGGCCGCGAGCCTGGGGTTCCGGACGCCGCAAAAGCATCGGAGCCCGCGTCGGAGCCTCCTGCTTTCCCCAGGATGGACACAGCCTAGAGGCTCGGCGGGACGGGACTGCAGCCCGACGGTCCGGGTCCCGACGGTCCGGGTCCCCCCGGCCGCGCCGGGCGGGAGCTGAACGCCGTTCCCAGCTCCTTCCGGCCCGCCCTCCGCTGCCTCTGGGCTGCCCGGCCCACCCACCCTGCGTGGGTCCGCCAACCACTCCGGGGAACGCGGGCTGACACCAGGGGCGGGACAAGCGAGGGCCGCAACCAATGAGCACCAGGGAAGGAGGCGGGTCCTCACGGCCTGAAAGAATGACGGACAGGCACCTCAGCCAGTAGAGGTGGACGCTAGGAGTGACTGGCGGGAGGCGCCCCCAACGGTTATCCGAGCTCTCGATCCCGGCGGCTGGAGCGGGCCATTCAGGGGCGGGGGCGGGGCCTTGCAGACGCTTGTTGTTGTCCGGCCCGGGGAGGCAGAGGTCGCTCGCTCGCTCCTTTGCGCTCTCGGGCCTTGTGTGGCGGTCGGCGGGCAGGTCGGTCGCGGGAGTCGGTCGCCGTGCAGGGGCGAGGCTATGTCGCGGTGGCAGCCCGGCAGGGCCGGCAGGGCCGGGAGTAACGGGACGTCGCCGCAGAGCCTCTTTCCCCGGATACAGTGCGGCCCGAACGGAGGCCGCGCCGCCGCCCTTCGGTCCTGAGGAGCTCGCGCTGCCCGGAGCCCCACCGCCTTCTTTCCCGCGCCGACGTCCACCGGCCCGCCCCGACCCGGCCACACCGAGCGCTGCGCAAGCAGGTAGGTGTCCGCCCTGTGCGGGGCGCCGAGCAGGGGCCTCCGGAACTCCAGCCCCCAGCGGACTTCGCGCTGGCGCGCGTGCGCGTCCCGGGATGCACGGCACCCTGGGATTTGTAGTTCCTCGCGGCTGGCTTGGGGTTTTCCTTCGCCCCGGCGGGTGCAGCCAGGCTGACGCTGGAGCGCCCTAGCTGCCGGCCAACAGGCCCCTCGGGGGTCGTGGTGCCCGCCTCTGTTCCTTGGTGTCCGAAGAACTAGGCGCCCTTGCGGAGAGGAGCAGGAAGGCCTTCGGGTTTCCTTTCCACCTCGCTAGAGGCCCCGTTGCACAGGGAAGAGCGCTGCGTCCCGGTGACCGCAGGCCCCCAGCCCCCGGTGTGCTGGATCGCGACCCGGTGCAGGTCCTGGCCGTAACTGAGGCGCTTAGCCCGAGGTCCTGCAGGAGTCCCGTGCCTTCCGGGGAGTCCAGGGAGATGAGCTAGCGAGCCCTGGCGTGAGCAGGAGCCCTGGTACGCCCCCGGTATCGGGGCGGGGAAAAGTGGGTTGGCTGAGCTGGAGCCTGGGCCCGCCACTCTCGGGTAACAGGATCCAGTTTCTCTCTCCTGCCAGTGCTGAGGGCTCAGGAGTGAGCGCAGGAGGGACCCAGCGTGTCACTAACGGCTCCACTTACTGGCTAGGGAGGCCAGACGCTCAGCCCCAGGGCCAAGATACTCAGGAACTGTCTCCCATCCTCAGGCAACACTAGCCCCTCCGACCGCAGGACCCCTTCCCCAAGGACATGAAGCTGTTGGAGAACTCGAGCTTCGAGGCCATCAACTCACAGCTGACAGTGGAGACTGGAGATGCCCACATCATCGGCAGGTGAGGCCTGGGCTCCGTGGGGCCTCAGAGGTCACGACATCCTGGCCCAGACTTGAACCTGCCGGGTGGCATGCTCCATGGTCCCCCTCGCCCTTTGTAGGATCGAGAGCTATTCGTGTAAGATGGCAGGCGACGACAAGCACATGTTTAAGCAGTTCTGCCAAGAGGGCCAGCCCCACGTGCTAGAGGCGCTGTCCCCACCCCAGACCTCGGGCCTCAGCCCCAGCAGGTGAGCCGGAGCAGAGTCTGCCCACTGTGGGCTGTGGGGGGCGGGCCGTGCTGGGCTGATGTGTTTCTCCGTGCAGACTGAGCAAGAGCCAAGGTGGCGAGGACGAGGGCCCGCTAAGCGACACGTGCAGCCGCAAGACCCTCTTCTACCTGATCGCCACGCTCAACGAGTCCTTCCGGCCTGACTATGACTTCAGCACCGCCCGGAGCCATGAGTTCAGCAGGGAACCCAGCCTCAGCTGGGTGAGGCTCAGGCTCGGGGGGAGGGGCTCACAGCCCCTCCCCCCAGCTCTGCTTACTGTGCTTCCTACCTGCAGGGGCCCCTGGGCTCGGCCGGCGCGTGCCCTCGGTCCCGCACCCTGAGTCAGTCCCGACTGTGACCGTCCTAGGTGGTGAACGCCGTGAACTGCAGCCTGTTCTCGGCCGTGCGGGAGGACTTCAAGGCCCTGAAGCCACAGCTGTGGGACGCGGTGGATGAGGAGATCTGCCTGGCCGAGTGTGACATCTACAGGTGGGCTGGCGTCCCTGCAGGCGGGCCGGGGGTGTGCGTGCCCCCGGCCTTCTCACCGCCTCTTGCCCTGCACTCCGCAGCTACAACCCAGACTTGGACTCAGACCCCTTTGGGGAGGACGGCAGCCTCTGGTCCTTCAACTACTTCTTCTACAACAAGCGGCTGAAGAGGATTGTTTTCTTCAGCTGCCGCTCCATCAGGTTGGCCCCTGTCCGCCGCCTCCCCGGGCTCCTGTCTGGCCCGGACACTGCTTCCCCAGCCCTGACCACCCCACTCCTGACTTTGTTCTTCCCGGACACCCTCCCTGAGCTCGGCAGCAGGCCGGGGCAGGCGGTCCTAAGACCAGTCCCCGCACCTCCCCCAGCGGATCCACCTACACCCCCTCGGAGGCAGGCAATGAGCTGGACATGGAGCTGGGAGACGAGGAGGAGGAGGAGGAGGAGGAGGAGAGCGGCGGAGGCGGTGAGGGCGGGCCGGAGGAGACGAGCGCCATGGAGGAGGACAGGTGTGTGGCGGCTGCTGAAGCCGGGGCTGGCCAGGACAGAGTGGGCACGCCTCTGCCTCACCCCCTGGGTGTTGGCTCCTCTGAGGTCCTTTTGTGCCACCTTCTGCCAGGGTCCCGGTGATCTGTATGTGAGGACGAGGAGCAGAGGCCCAGCTTCATTCAGCTTCAACCAGTGCCGGGAACTGCCCACTCGAAGGCCCCAAGGGCCTCCCCAGCTGGTGGTCAGCCCCTGGCTCTGCCACGGCTCCGGCGCCGCCCCAGGCAACGCCCACCCAGCCCTTTGGCTCCGCCCACAGATGTCTACCCCGCCCCCCCCCCCAACAGGCTCCCGCTGCCTGTGTTGTGGTTGACCTGGACAGCGGCAGGGCCTGGTGGGAAGAGCCGCTGCCCTGCCCCCCGGGAACTGACACAGGCAGGGACAGCTGGACTACAGAGTTTATTTTTGTATTTTGTGCTGGATCAGGCATGGGCCTGCACACTCCAGCCCAAGGGCCTGAGATCCAGTCAGCAGGCCCCAGCGGTCACCACCCTGGGCTTGGCCAGCCCCTGGCGCCCACCGGTACCCACCCTCCCTTCCCCCGCCACCTCGCCCGTTGGGCAGCGTGCACTGACTGTCACTTTGCTGCAGCTGTTTGTTTCCAATAAAAATTTGTGACTTAGTGGGGACCTAACCTCTGTGCCGTGTTGGGGGTGGGGTCTGCGTCGAAGGCGGGGTCGGGGCGTCTGGTAGCCTAGCAACGGTCTTAGGGGCCGTTGAGCCGCCGGGACCTGCTGCCGCTGGAATGGAGACGGGGGTGTCAGAGGCGGGCAACACCCATTCAGTAGAAGGCGACAGCCTGCTGCTGGACCCGGACCTGTACGATGCCGACCCCTACGACATCCCAGACCCAGGGCTGCTCAAGGAAAAGAATGGTGAGGTGGCCTTTCCCGGCCCCCCTGCCCCCTCCCCGCCCCCTATGCCCGCACCACAGCAGGCCTGCCTTGCTGGGGCGGGAGTTCGTCTGCGGCGACGCCACACTACCCGGGCTGTCCGTGGTCCCCGCGCTGGCTGCAGCCTCCAGAGTCAGGGCTGCAGGAGCACAGGGTGACCGCGCTTCCACTGCTAACCCGCAGAGCTGTTTATGGAGCCCGTCCCACGGCTTTTTACCGGCAGCTCGTGGTGGCAGAACCAGACCCCACGTGCTCGTGCCCGCCAGTTGTGGCTGCTTCTCCGTGGGGGCCTCCATGACTTCGTGGAAAAGGTGGGGCTTGCCTGTGGGCCCTGCCTCGAGGCCTCTTTCCTGGTCCATCTCTTCGCCCAGATGTCCCTAGTATGCCCTCAGCCCAGATCCCCTTGGCTCCCCAAGGCAGGCGCACTACGCTCCAGCCACCCGCCCCCACCTCTCAGCTGACCACAGGCCTGCCGTCCTGGCCCACAGGAGAAGAGAAGTGAGCTGTGTGTGGCACGTTTGACCCATGGACTGGAGCCGTTGCGCCATCTGAAAGTGGCAGCTGGGCTGTGCTCGGTGGCACAGGACCCCGTGGGCAGACGCTTCGTGGTGCTGGATGGTGCAGGCCACCTGCATGTGCACAGAGAGGACGGCTGGGCTGACAAGAAGCTACGGGCCCCAGCCATGCTCACGGGGCTGGTGGCAATGCAGGGTCCACTGGACACCATGAGCCGCTTTGTGGGTTGGGGCCCCGAGGGGCTGGCCATCCTAAGGCCTGACCTCAGCCTGCTGTGGCTGAGTGAGCCAGGGGTGGGCAGGGTGCCGGGCCACGAGCCCATCTGCTGTCTGCCAGTGCCCAGCCTGGGGCTGTTGCTAGTGGCAGAGGCAGGTGGCAGCCTGGTGCTCTGGGAGTTCCGTTCAGGGGGTCGCCGCCTGGTGCCACGTGGGTCACCTCTGCAGCTGCCACCAAGTCCTGCAGGTACACTCACCCGTTTGGTTCTGGGGCCCCCACATTCCCACCAAGTCCCATGCTGCTTCGCGGCCTATGGCTCAGCCGTGCTCACCTTCGATCTGCAAACCTGGGCTCTGGTAGACGTGCGCCAGGACCTGCACAAAACGTGAGGGGCACCTGGGACAGGGAGAAAGGGTGGGTGGCAGGGAGAGGCAAGTCCGGGAGGGCAAGCGGGTCATGGCAGGGGCACAGCAGCTCCCATGTCAGGA